ACTTAGCAACAGGAACTGACTTTGTCAACATATCAGCAGAATTATCATGTGTGCTTATCTTGCATATCTTTAGCTTATCTTGCGCGACTACATTATGAACATAATGGTATTTGACATCAATGTGCTTCGTTCTCTCATGAAACATCTAATCTTTAATGAGACATATAGCACTTTTAACTGTCACAAAATAAATTAATGCAAGAATCATCTCCACAAAGCTCAGCAAACAAACCTTTTAACCAAACTGATTCTTTACATGCTTCAGCAATAGCCATGTATTCTGCTTCAGTGGTAGACAGAGCAACAACGGGCTGCAATGTTGTCCTACAACTCACAACACAACCACCAATAGTAAACACATAACCTGTGAGAGATCTCCTCTTATCCAAATCAGCAGCAAAATTTGAATTCACGTAGCCAGTGAGTCCCTTATCAGTCCTACCAAACTTCAAACAATCATTTGTTGTGCCACGAAGGTACCTAAAATCCACTAAACAACCTTCCAATGTTCTTTACTAGGATTAGCCATGTATCTACTAACCAAACTCATAGCATATGATAAATCAGGACAGAGCAAACCATGACATACATCAAAGAACCAACATCACTAGAATATGAAACTCTTGACATGTACTCAAAATCCTCATCCGTACTAGCATATTGTAAAGCTGATAATTTGAAATGAGCAGCAATAGGAGTACTAACAGACTTTGCATCATGCATGTTGAAATGATAAAGAACTTTCTTAATGTAACTTTGCTGACTAAGAAATAACAAACCAGAATTTCTATCTCTTGTAATTTCCATCCTTAGAATCTTCTTAGCAGCACCAAGATCCTTCATCTCAAACTCACTACTCAACAATTTCTTCAACGTAGTGATTTCTTTCTTGCTCTTGGCAGCAATCAACATATCATCAACATATAACAGCAAATATATAGGTGATCCATCAACAAATTTAATGTACACACAACTATCAAATTTAGACCTCTTAAAACCATGTGACATCATAAAAGAATCAAACATTTTATACCATTGACGAGGAGACTGTTTCAAACCATATAAGGACCTTTTTAATTTGCAAACATGATCCTCCTTACTAGGTACTATAAACCTTTCTGGCTGGTCCATGTATATCTCATCCTCGAGCTCTCCATGTAGAAACGCAATCTTTACATCTAACTGCTTCAAGCTCAAGATATCGCATAGCAACAAAAACAAAAAATATATGAATTGAACTATGCTTTACAACTAGAGAGAACACATCATTATAATCAATGTCAGGAATCTGACTGAAACCTTTTGCTACTAACCTTGCCTTAAATCTTGAAGGCTCACAAGGAGACAAACCATCTTTTCTTTTGAAGATCCATTTGCAATGAACGACCTTTTTTGTGTTTAGGCAAGCGCACAACATCCCATGTGCCATTTTTCTCAAGTGACCGCATCTCTTCTTGCATAGTGGAAATACACTTCTCGCGGTCACCAGAAACAACAGCTTAAGTGTACGTAGCCGGCTTATGAATGTTCTCAACCTGTTCAGCACAACTAAAGGCATAATGAACAATATCACATTCCTCAATTAAACGTGGACGAGGTCCACAACTTCTCTTTGTTCTGCGATCTGTAATAGAGTGATTTTGAGGCTGCAAAACATGAGGTGAGTGTTGAACAATATCATGAATATTGTTATCAACAATTTCAATTTTAGTTTCCTGATCATCTACGTGCTCCACCTGCACGCTAACATGTTCCTGCTCCTCATCAGAACCAACTGGTGAAACATCTGTGGACAAGCTGTCATTAAACATAACAGATTCATTGAAAACAACGTTCCTGTTCATGAAAGTCTTTTTAGTTTCAGGATTCCATAACTTATATCCTTTAACTCTAGAACCATAACCAAGAAACATACACTTAATGACTCTAGGTTCTAGCTTTTCATTATCAACATGAGCATAAGCAGTGCAAACGAAAACTCTCAACTGTGAATAATCAGCAGGCATACCAGACCATACCTCAATGGGAGTTTTCTTATTAAGTGGGATAGAAGGTGTCCGGTTGATCAAGTAACAGGCGGTGTTAGCAGCCTCAGCCCAAAAACACCTGTTCATACGAGCATTGGACAACATGCAACGAGCCCTCGAGATGATGGTTCGGTTCATGCGCTCAGCCACACCATTCTGCTGAGGAGTGTACGGGATGGTGTGGTGCCTGACAATGCCTTCTTCCCTGCAATAATCATTAAAAGCATCCGAACAGAATTCACCACCATTGTCAGAACGAAGCAATTTTACCTTCTTTTTAGTTTGTCTTTCTATCATAACTTTCTACTTTTTAAAAGCAGCAAAAGTATCATCTTTATTTTTTAGAAAGTAAGGCCACACTTTTCTAGAGCAATCATCAATAATGGTAAGCATGTAACGAGCACCACCATAAGAGGGCTTACGAGACGCCCCCCCACAAATCATCATGTACATAATCAAGTGTACCTTTGGTGGTATGAACAGATGCATTGAATTTTACCCTCTTGTACTTACAAAAAACACAGTGCTCACAGAACTTCGTCTTGCCCACAGTGCAGCTATCTAGCAGGTCTCTCTCGATCAATTCTGCCATATCAAGTTTACTCATATGCCCAAGACGCATATGCCAGAGATTAGTTTTACTTGGTTCATCATTAGAAACAGTAGCAGCAGTGACGGAACCATGTAAAGTACTTCCTCTAAGAACATATAACTTTGCAGAATTCATATCACCTATCATATGAATGAGAGAGCCTTTTGATACCTTACATACTCCACTTGAACCGGAGTGTCTGTACCCCTCGACATCAAGTGTGCTGAGAGAGATGAGATTTCTAGCCATCCCTGGTATGTGTCTCACATCTTTCAGTATGCGTATCATGACATCATGCATCTTGATCTGAATGGAGCCAATGCCCACGATCTCACGTGGGTTGTTATCTCCCATACGCACGACATATCCACTCTGCACAGACTTGTAAGAACTGAACCAATCTCTGTTAGAGCATATATGAAACGAGCATGCATAATCAAGTATCCATTCATCACGACCAGCAACACAACAAGTAAAAACAACCAGAATATCTCTTGAATCAGAATTATCAACAGCGGAGACAACAGAGGCCTTACCATCACCATCGGATTTATTTTTCAGTTTCTACGTACCGTTTCTTTTCTCCTTATTCTACAGCTTCTAGCAATCCCCAATGACATGAGTATCTTTCTTACAATACCTATAGAACTTATCCCTGCCTCGACTTCGAACGGCCTTTACCGTTCTTGCTCTTGTCTAGATTGTTGTTGTTGTTGTAGGTTTTCTGCTCAGGTCTACCTCTAACCTGCAACACTTCGCCCTTGGAGGACGACACATTAGACTGAACCATACCTTTCATCTTCTCCCTCGTCTGGAGGGCCTCATATACTTCCACAAGGGTTAGTTCATCACGGCTTAATAGTATGGTATCTCAAAAATTTATAAACGAAGTAGGCAGTGAGCATAACAGTAGAAGAGCTAAATATTTATCATCATATTTCACCTCCATCGACACTAGGTCGTCGACGATCTCCTTAAAGATCGATAAGTGGTTCATCACCGAACCACCTTTTTGCAGTTTGTGCGTGGATAATTTCATCTTCACGTGCATCTTACTGGTTAGATCCTTGACATACATATCGATTTCAGCTTGAGCCAAAGTTATGCGGTAGTTTTCTCCTGTAGCACTTCTTACAAAATATCATTATGTAGATGAAGTTGAATCGAAGCAAGAGTCTTACGATCCTTTCGCTTCTCTTCAGCGGTCCATGACTTCAGTTCTTTTCCTCCGAAACCGTCCAACGCTTCATCAAGATCCAAAGATTGTGCTAGAATCGCCGCATCTTGATTTGCCACAGTGCAAATCTCGTCTTATAATCCTACAGCGATAGATCAAACTTCATCGATGCCATCGCGAAACCCTAAGGTCAAACCAAGCTCTGGTACCACTTGTTATAAACGATAGGCAATATAAATGACGAAGAACAGTAGATCAAGCACATGGGGACACGAGATTTTAACGTAGAAAACCCTTCCAATGTGGAAGGAAAAAAAATCACAAGCACCCGCCAACAAATCTTTACTATATCGGGTGAGGTTACAAATATCGAAGATTTATAACTTGGGAATACCCTAACCTGAGGTTCTTCCCGTATAAAAGTCTATGATGCATTTTTTCCATAAGAGAGGTGGTCCGTATATATAGGGAGGAAAAACACCACACCCTCGTCTATTAGCAATACGGAACTAATAGATGGTGTAGTCCCTCTTAACGCTAATAGACCGCTTCACTTCGGTCAAAGCTTGAATTTGATCATAGCTCAACAGTTCCGTGGGCTTTGCAGCTAAACATCGTTTAGGCCGCAAACAACTTGTGATTTTGCGGGCGGGCTGGTGGGTAGTGTTAACGACCCGTCCTGCCTGCATCCTGAAACTGAAGCATAGACGCAGAACTAAGACCGGCGAGGGCGAGGCCGCGAGGGAGAAGGCGGCGGACGGGGCAAACTGGCAATGCACGGTCCACGGGGCACTTGGCTTTGACGCGGTGCCGTGCGCGGTACGCCTGTGACAGCGCCTGCAATGTTTTTTTTAATGGAATTTGGACTCGGACGTGGGTAACCGCCGCGCCACTCCGCCCGCACCCTTTTCCTCCCCACCCGGGCCGGCCACCCCCTTCGCTTCCCCCGGAAATGGCGCGCCACCTCTTCCCCACTCCGCTCCCGTCCATCCTCTCCTCTCCATTACACCAGTCCGCGATTCCGCACCATCTCCGCTCAGCCCCGCGCTTCCCCCCAACCTTCCTTCCACAACCACGACCAATCGGATCCCGCACGGAGCGCGCGCCGCGATTGCTCGCCGTCGTGGCGACCTCGCATTCTTCTGGAAGGAAGAAGGGTTTGATGCTATGACGGAGCGCTAGAGGTCAAGGAGGAGAAGCGAAGATGATGCTTGGCCTAGTGCAGCTGCTGGTGGGGTTCGTTGTCGCCTGGGAAGCCGTCGAGCTCGTCCTCCGCCACGGCCTCCTCGTCTCCGTCTTCAAGCTCGCCATCCTCGCCGCCCTTGCCGCTGCGGCCGGATGCGTCGCCGTCATGTACGTTCGCCCCCCGCCCCCCTCCTCTTCTCCCCTTTCCACGAAGCCTCACCGGACGAAATTGTCTCCGTGCTTTACGTTATGTTTCTCAATTCTCGGAATGAGATGGGGTGAGTGGCTCTCAAGGATCTCTGTGTTGCGAACTCCAATCGCAGCTTATTCGCCAGGGCGGTAGCCTGGGTGCTCCAACGCGCGGCCAAGCTCTCCATCAGTTGCCGCTCCTACAGCTTCAATTACCTGAGGGACATCACCATTTCATCACCGAAGGTACCTCTTCCCGTCTACCTGCTTTTGTGGCTTCTCATCCCTCCACGCCAATGGCAATGCCAATCCTGACATATGATCCATCCACATTTGCATTGCATTTCAGGGCGCTGTTGAGTCCATTTGCATTGGTGAAATTAGACTTGGCCTGCGTAAACCAATCACCCAGCTGGGATTTACAATACTAACCCATGGACCAATCCTGCAACTGCAAATCTCTGATTTGGATGTTGTCCTCAGGCAACCTGTGAAATCCGCTAACAAGAAGAAACCTTCCCCTCGCAAACCGACCTCGACCACAGCAGCCAAAGCAAAAGGAAAATCCAAAGGACAAGCAAAATGGAGGCTGATAACAAGCATGGCCAGTCTGTTGTCATTATCCATAGTGGAGCTGAGGCTTAAGGTACTGCCTACTATTCAGATACTTAAACTCCATCAATCATAGTTGTATTATTGTGAACACTCACAATTTTGTGAATGACATATCTCTCTCCCAGTAACCCCATAAACATTTTTTCTGTCATTATTAGCAGATGCTGGAAATGAAGAGGCCCATAAGTTGTAATATAATAGACTACTAGCTGTATAGTCACATATTTTCAAAGGTTTAGTCGCTTGATAGACTTTTGTGCTAAGTTCTTGTGCTAGCAGATGTGTGCTCTGGTTCTGGTTCAGTCTTTGGTACATTCTATATGATTTTTTTTGAAAGAAAGGTACATTCTATATGATAGATCCATATCCAAATAGGTAAGCCATCATCATTTTTTTCTTTTGTTGTTAGGAGCTTTATAATGCAGGTGAAGCCATCTTTAGATTTGTTCGATAACAATTTATATGGATATGCTTATCTTTCTTGTTTTGTTTGTAACCTATGGCATTTTCTTAACAAGAGGTACATATGAGTCACAGTGGCTCTAACGTGTGTTCTCTGTTTTGCCTCTCTTTCATGTTTGCGCGTTGATAACTTTGCAATAACTTGTCTCTACATACTGCAGGCTCCAAAAGCTGCTCTTGGTATCAAGGACCTTAAGATTGATATATCTAAAACTGGAGGACTGGATCCAGTTCTTAATGTTCAAGTTAATATCATACCTTTATTTGTGCAAGCACTGGAGTCAGACAGCATTGAAAACAACACATCGGTGTTTAGTAAATTGGATTGGTGGGTTAGTGGACAATATTGTTCAGCCATGGACACTTCAGACTGTAGCTCTTTCCTGCTTGAGGATATATCACTCTCATGTGACATTCATCAAAGGTAACATGTTAAGTCAATGCTTTGCAAACTTCATCAGATTTATAAATAGTGAAATAATTAACAATAGGAACTATTCTTGACTATGTATTTTAGGGATAAAGCAATTAGAGTAAAAAATTTGGACTTGATGCTTGGTCCAATCGTTGTGAATTTGGAAGAGAAATTACTCGCAAAAAAGAAACCATCTGCCTCTACTGTTGCTGAGCAAAAGGATGAACGTTCTGTGGATAATAAATCAGCAGCCAGATCTGAAGGGGGCAAACTTGCATCACTAAATAAGAAGATCAGTATGTTTCCCGAAAAGGTTGTATGAACTCCCTAGAGTACAACTGATGTTTCTATATTTATCTATCCACAAGTATTTTGCTCTACTGCATGCATAGTTCATCTTTTATTTTTTTAGCTTGTTTATGCTTGCTTATACTTTTGACCATAGTCATATTGGTTCATTTTCCCTATAAAATATGTGGACATATACTTTTTGTTATTTATATTGACTTGGAGGGAGGCTGCATTGGAGTGATATTGCTTAGCAAAGCTAAATCTATTCCTGATGTATATACAGTATGTACAGGATGCGTAATTCTTTAAGTATAGAACCATCAAATAATCATTCTTCACTGGTGCTGATATTGCTCATTAAATACAAGTTATCATTGTTGAGTGTGCAAATATTATAGGACCGAAGAAATATCAGAAACAAATAGTTAGAGGTGATGTTGAATATCATATAAAATGTAACTCAAACTGTTCTTTGCTAGCACATGTAACCCAGGTATTAGGGAGTTTAACTTTACCTAGGGTACAATTCAAAACTTTCAAGTTATCTCCTACTGTCTATATTTGCCATTTTAAATTGTTATACTGTGATTTTTTTTAAAAACAAGTTAACTCTTCGATTACTGTTCACTAAAATGTAGTTTTGTTTGGAAGGTTAGCTTCAATATGTCCAAACTTGATCTGAAGTTTTTGCCTAAAGATCATGGCCTCTCAATCAACAATGAAATTGGTAGCATATCTTTGAGATGTACAAGGTTACAACCACAACAAGACTTCGGAGAGGTCACAACACATCTTCGGTTGGAAACTGATATAACGGAGATTCATGTATGTTTTTATGTTATCTATAGGAAATATAAGTTTTTTTTCTTCAGTTTTGGTCATTTCAACACGATTATTTTCTATAGAAAAACCGGATCTAAAGTTTTTTTAATGACTGATTGTTTTTCCAGCTCCTAATGGATGGTGCCACCTCTGTATTAGAGGTTATAAAAGTTTCAACAGTTGTTTCAGCTAACATTCCGTCTCAGGTCAGTTTGATCTTATTTCTTTATTAATTCAAACTCTACTATTTTGGATCCTTTGATTTCCCTTGGAGAATTTTGAGGGGCCTCCATCTACCTTCTTTTATAATAATTCTTTGGAGAATACTTCCCTTACACACAGATACGGCTTCCCTTTGAATACACAGATAAGATGTTCTTTTTGTTTTTTTGGTTTATAATTTCCTTTTGGAGCTAATGTGGTTATGCATTTTTTTCCTCTCAGACAGCATTGCCAGTTCAAGCTGAAGTAGATATCAAGATTAGTGGATTCCAATGTAACCTCATTGTAAGCAGAATTAAGCCACTGATTAGAATAAACTCAGATAAAAAGAAGCCTCTTGTTCTTCATGACAATCCTCAGCAAAAGAAGGCACCCAAAGAAAAATTAGCATTGTCTTTGGCATGTACACTGTCAGCTCCTGAGTTGACTCTTGTGCTTCATAGTCTTGATGACGTACCACTTTACCATGTAAGTATTAAGTACCTTATGGCTGCTGTGCTGTACTTTTCTGTTCTCAATTGGTTTTGTTGCTTGCATTGCATTATTCACAAGGCTCAGATTAAGAAAATCCACTCATATATTAGATTCTAATAATTGCATGTTCTATCTATAACTCACCTTCATATTGCTAAAACAATCATGCCATTTAGCATCCATAAAACTATAGAGAGATTGATGGCATTGATGTGAAGGGAAAAGTGGCACTTATGGAGAGAGTGGTATGTAGGTGAGGAAGCACCTCCACCAGATTGATTAAAAACAATCCCCTTTCCCTATATTGAGTAAAAGCAATCCCTTGCTGTAAACCACAAAGTTCCTTCCTCCTTGATAGCCCACATGACTTCGTTCGCATTTGGAGCAGCAGCATTGAAACCACATTGTTGTCATGTTTCCATAGCTGCCAAACAACAATGATAACTAGCGGATTAAGTCCTTTCCTTTGCTGTTTGTCCACTTGCTTGACAGTAGGGATGCAAGCAGGCTTGTCTACGAACCCACAAAAATTAAGCCTGTTTGCGGGTTCCTGGACAGGCCCGCTTGCATCCCTACTTGACAGAGTGACTCCACCAGCTAGAAAAATTCACAGCATTAGTAGAAGACGAAATCCTCTCAAGCCTAGCCTGTTGGAGAACGATGGACACAAAACTTGCCAAGAAAAAACGCAAGAGATAAGAATGTGTTGCATGGTCTATCAGGCTTGATCACAAAGAGGGCAGCGAGGAGGATCAGGGAGACCTATCTTTGCCAAACTATCGTCTGTCCAACATTGCTTAAGAACAGCCAGCCATATGAAAAACTTGCAACATAGTGGAGCTCAGGATTTCCATATTTTTTTTCCATTATGCAAATCTGATGGTGACCACAAAGAAAGCCTTATAGGATGATTGCAAGAGTATACCCTGAGCCAGAGAACTTCGAAATGTGTCGATCCTTCACATTATATTGCAAAATCACATCCTCAACCAAATCCAAAACAATGTTTTCAAATTGTCTAGTCGACCCTAGATGCCATGGCACTGATCAGCCGACTAATCGCGATTAGTTGTCGACCAGCTTGATTAGTCGATCATAGTCGGTCCTAGTCGGCAGTATGGTCATCCTGCCTAAATTCCCTGCTACATAGGATGTATAAACTATACAGTTGGTCTTGCTCTAGCAATCGGATCGATTCTTAGAATAGCCCAATTTCTTTGTGCTGCTATTTTTTTACCTTTCCTTTCTATGTTGTGTCACAACCTAAGTGTTGTTGTGATCTGCAATTGTTTGTCTGCATACACTTATTGGTAAAGTGCAGAGGCCGGAACACTGTTCCTTTATCTAAAAAAAAAAGTTGGTCTTGGTCCTAGTCCAGAACTCCATAATCCATCCCAGACAACTAGAGTAACTGCAGCAGTAGTAGAGCAAGGCAGGATGCTAGTGGAGGAGGTGGAAGAGAACACTAGCATTAGAGGCAGCGAGAGTTTATCCGTTCTCCTGCTCGACAGCGAAAGCTCGTACAGGCAGTGGATGGAGGGGATGGATGACTGGCCACTGGGAGATGTATATATTGAAACCCTACTGAGCCAAAAATACTAAGTCCATGTGCCAAGTGCACAGCTGCCAAGCCCAACTTGCATTTCATCCCCTTCCAGACTAGTCATCCACAACCTAATTGGACGATTAAATCGTGACTAATTGGACGAAGATTTCTAATCGGTCTAATCGGGTTGTAGTGCCTAATCGAGGTCAGGGGACTGATTAGTGCGACTAATCGTGAATTCGTGATTAGTCAGATGACTTGAAAACACTGATCCCAAACCAGTAGATATTCCTCAATGGCTATACTGTCAAGGCTCCTTTAATGTCACTATGTTAGCCACCCACCGATGATTATCAAGCCCTTCTGCAACTATCCTTCGCTTGAACACCATCTTAGGAAATAAAGCAACAAGGTTAGGAGCCAATTTAGAGTGTTTGACCATGCAGCCTACTGTCTGGCCAAAATTTGGTGTCTGTTCCATTCCCAACAAGGGTCATGGTAGCCATAGAAAACATAGCCCGAGAGGTCATGAGTGCCAATGCCACAACGATCAATTGGCAAGCAAAGATTTGTTCAAGCTACCAGGCAATTGCCACCATTTACTTGCTCTTGCCTGTTCCAATGAAAGCTCTCCTCCTTCTCTCGGATACAGCATTACTTGATAGCTAATTTCCTGCAGCTGCTAGGATGCCGGTTCTGGCAGCTGTGGTTACATCCTGCTGGTGAACCCCCTGATGGTCTAGGTTGACTGTTCATGAAAATGGCCATGAGACCGACTGTGTCCTCGTGACGTGGCCACGTGCGCATGTGGCTAACTCTATGTGTATACTGTTGTGCCCTTGTTACATTACTAGTGCATTCAAATGTCATGATACTAAATTTGGAATTTATGATACGATGTTGGTAGATGATGAATTTGTTAAATCAGAAATTGCTGGTGACAACAATGGGTACATTTCCAACTCTTTTAGACTACCAGGATTGCCCACCACTCTCCTTGATGAGATTTGTGTAAGTTTGGTAGCATGGGAAGTTTGGTACCAAGGGATATCTATCGATCATGTTTAAATACCAAAAAAAAAACTAGACCAGGGTGGAAGGACATCCCACTTGATTTAGCTCTAAGAGGGGCCCACCAAAAGCTGGCCAGGGCAGGAACCTTGGCAGTGCTGTTTAAATACATTAGTAGGGGCCTCCCTACTGTATTTCCTTGAAAACAAAAAGTAAGATGTTTAAATGGTTTGAGGCTTTTTTATGTGTCCAAATGACTAATGATATCACGAATTATGACATTGCAATCTTGTATTAATATACTAATCTCGCTCTGTCTGTACTGGATAATGCAGTGTCTTTTTCAATCAGCTAATGTTTCTGCAAGTAAGATGATAGACCAAGGAACTCAATTGCATGCCAAACTTGGTGACTTAAAATTTCTTGTTTCTGGTAAACACCAGCAGTCAATGAAAGAAAGTGCTTCGAGCACCTTACTGCACATTAGGCAGTCAACTCTTGATTTGGAACAAAAGGACCCAGGCAAAGATAATGATGAGGACCATGCTAAATCTTCTATCTCTGTTAATATACCTGGAATCAGAATGCACTTTTGTTTTTACTATCTTGAGTCACTTTGTGCAACTGCAATGTCATACAAAGTGTTCCTGAAAAGCATTTTGCCTCCTAAGAAGCGATCTGTCCAGGAGAATGCTTCTCAAAAATCTACCAAGAAATCTAAAGGAGCACAGCTTCTCAAAATCAATGTTGCACAGTGCTCTATTGTGTATGATGGTGACATGAGGCTGGAAGATATGAGTATTGCTGATCCAAAGCGTGTAAATTTTGGTTCTCAGGGTGGTCGTGTTGTAATCATCAACGAAGCTAATGGTTCCCCAAGGATGGCTTATGTAAATTCTACCAGCCTTCCGGATCATAAGAATGTGCACTTCTCCACTTCTCTTGAGATCTATCAGTTTGGTGTATCTTTGAATAAGGCAAAGCACTCCATGCAGGTTGAACTTGAGAACTTTAGATTGACACATAAAGAGGACCAGCTTGATAATAAACCTGTAGAGGAAACCAAGCTTTTTGATGTGCGTAAAGCGAAGTTTGTCCAGCGTTCTGGTGGGTTAAATGATATTGCAGCCTGCTCTCTCATCAATGTGACTGACATTGCAGTAAGGTGGGAACCTGATCCCTATCTGGAATTGCTTGAAGTAGCTACACGACTTAAATCTGTTCTGCATAGAATGAAACTACAGCATGCTGTTACCGAGGTAAAAGATGAAACATTGAACATGGATATTCTGTCCAAAAAAGAATCACCCACAGACCATGGTCAGCAAGAGAAGGCACAAAAGAAGAGAGAATCAGTAATTGCCATTGATTTGGAATCACTGAAAATTTCAGGTGAACTTGCTGATGGGGTTGAGGCAATGATTACTGTTGGTTACATATTTTCTGAGAATGCAAAGATAGGTGTTTTGGTTGAGGGAATATCAGTCAGCTTTTGTGGTGCGTGGATATTAAAAAGCAGTCGTATGCAGTTATCTCGTATCCCGATTTCTGTTTCTGATAGCAATTCTGATAAGAAGTTACAATCTGCAGCTGCATGTGATTGGGTTATTCAATGCCGTGATGTTAATATTTGCTTGCCTTTTAGGTTGCAACTGAGAGCTATTGATGATGCTGTAGAAGACACATTGAGGGCCTTTAAACTTATTTCTGCAGCAAAAACATCTGTATTGTTTCCTGAGAAGAAATCTAGCACCACCAGCAGCAAAAAGAGCAAACCAAAAATGGCATTTCGGTATGTGCGGGTCATTGTACGTGACCTGATAGCAGAAATTGAGGAAGAGCCCATGCAAGGATGGCTTGATGAGCATATGACTTTAATGAAGAGTATATTTTATGAGTCGACAGTTAGGTTGAATCTACTTGATGAGCTTTCTTCAGGTAAAAATAAGGATTCCCCCAAGGCAAAACTGGATACTTCTTCTGAAAAGAACAGTGGTTGTCCTGATGTTGATGCAGATGTTCCTGGCACACACTCCATTGAAAAACTCAGGGAAGAGATCTATAGACAAGCATTTCAGTCATATTACCAAGCATGCCAGAAATTGCCAGTATCAGAAGGGTCTGGTGCTTGTTCAAGTGGCTTCCAGTCAGGATTCAAGATGAGTACTCGTAGAGCATCAGTTATGTCAGTATGTGCAAAAGATGTTGATGTGAGCTTATCAAAGATCGATGGCGGTGATGAAGGAATGATTAGTTTTATTAAATCTCTAGATCCAGTTTGTGCCAAAGATGATATCCCGTTTTCCAGATTGTATGGTAGCAATTTTAGTTTGAAAACTAGATCCTTATCTGTGTACTTGAGAGATTACACATTTCCACTCTTTTCTGGAACCAATGGCAAATGTGATGGACGTCTTGTGCTGGGTCAGCAGGTTAGCATTCCTTGCCGTTCACTGATGAAGTAGTGTTAGAATTGCTAACTATTTCTGTGAAATACCACTATAATTGTTAACTGACCTTGTAATGGTAGAAAAAATAATGGCTTCATCTAACTGCATTTCTTTGTAGTTTCTTCCTTATTTTATTTGAGCATATCATTCAGTATTTCAACAAAATGATATTCTCCAGAACTTTTGTATAATTCTGTATGGTGATCAAGCATCATTTAAGTTGTACTGATTTTCCCCCCGGTGGCAGGCAACCTGTTTTCAGCCCCAAGTACGACAGGATGTTTATGTTGGCAAATGGTGGAGAGTAAATCTGCTACGCTCTGCAACTGGTTATACCCCACCAATGAAAACATATGCTGACATACCACTGTATTTTAAAAAGGGGGAAGTATCATTTGGAGTTGGTTATGAGCCTGTTTTTGCTGATGTAAGCTATGCTTTTACTTGTGCACTCAGGAGGGCAAATTTAGCTAAGAGGTGGTTTTTTGAGCGACCTGAGCCCCCTAGAAGAGAGCGCAGCTTACCCTGGTGGGATGATATGAGGAACTATATTCATGGAAAATTTAAATTGTGTTTTAATGAGACAAAGTGGCATCTCCCTGCTTCGACAAGCCCTTATGAGAAGCTTGATGAAATGCTAATCAAAACTGACTTCATGGAAATACATTATGTGGATGGTTATGTCAGTCTGTCTTCGAAGTATCTAAGGGTGTACCTAACTAGCTTAGAGAGTCTAGCAAAGAAGTCCAGTTTAGAAATTCCACACCATCCAGCTATACCTTTCCTTGAAACCCCCTCCTTTTTCATGGATATTTCAATACAGTGGGGTTGTGATTCCGGTAATCCTATGGATCATTTTATATTTGCTCTTCCTGCAGAGGGAAAACCACGGGATAAAGTCTTTGATGCATTCCGCTCAACTTCTCTGTCACTGAAGTGGAGTTTTTCACTTAAGCCTTCTACTACTGAACCCATAGAACACCAACAGAAGAGTAATTCGTATACAACTGATTCTCCAACTGTGAACGTGGGGGTGCATGATTTGGTCTGGCTAATGAAGTGGTGGAACTTGCTTTTTCTTCCTCCCCATAAACTAAGACTGTTTTCGAGGTTTCCACGTTTTGGAGTTCCCAGATTTATACGATCTGGAAACCTCCCACTTGACAGAGTTATGACAGAACAGTGCATTCGTTTTGATGCCATTCAATTACAGATTAACAACATGCCTCTACAGGCAGATGATCCTGCAAAAGGTTTGACACTACACTTCACAAAATTTAGGTACGAAATAGCTTTCAGCCGTGGGAAGCAGATATTCACCTTCGATTGCAAGCGTGAACCTCTTGATCTTGTCTACCAGGGCATAGATCTGCACTTGTTGAAGGTATTTATTAACAGAATTCCTGAATCATCAACTTCTAAGGATTCTAAGATAGAAAATAAGAGTCTGCTGACAAAAGATAAAGATAGTCTTGGTTGTGAAAAGGGCAAAAAGAAAACTAGTCCAACCGAGAAAAGCCGAGATGATGGATTCTTTCTGTATTCTGATTATTTCACAATACGAAAACAAACTCCCAAGGCTGATGCTGCTAGATTATCAGCATGGCAGGAAGATGGCAGAAAAAAAACTGAAATGCCATTGATCAAGTCTGAGTTTGATGGGGGGGATGAAAGTGATCATGATCAATCAGGTAGTGATGATGAGGGATTCAATGTGGTGGTTGCTGATAGTTGCCAGAGAGTTTTTGTCTATGGATTAAAGATTCTGTGGAATTTAGAAAACCGGGCTGCTGTCCTCTCTTGGGTTGGTGGTTTAACCCAGGCATTTCAGCCTCCAAAGCCATCTCCTTCTCGCCAATACACCCAAAGAAAATTTCTCGAGAAGAAACAGTTAATTAAAGAAGCTGAGATGTCCAAGTCTGGGGCTCTCAGCTCTGTGTCCTCAACATCACAGCCTTCTGAACCTCAACAAATCAAGAGTTCAGAGTCACCACCTTCCATTGGATCTGGCAAGCCAGATCTGACATCAAGTAGTGAAAATGGTATGATCAATAACACAATCCTCTGTTTCCTAGTTCTTGACACAATTGTGTTCAATCGATGACTAAGATGTTATTTATTTATTATCAATTAGCACATTCTTGTCATATTTAGTTTTCAGCAATGCGTTAAACACAAAAAAATATTGAAATTAGATTCAAAATTTTCACTCTATTTTTTTTGCTGTGTGATGTAGCACTTAAGCCTTCAAATAATAGTGATTCAGAAGAGGAAGGTACCAGGCATTTCATGGTTAATGTTGTCCAACCTCAGTTCAATTTGCATTCAGAAGAAGCAAATGTGAGTAAATTGCCACTGCATTTCTTTTACACGTTTGTTAAATGAAAAACTTCCGTGTGATTTTGTATTTCATAAGCCTGTCATTATCCCACTTCAAAAACCTTTCTGGCCTGCTAGGGACTGGAAACCAAAACCGGCTGGTTTGCTAAAGCAAATTGTGGTGCAACATTGAATTGAAAATGGTTCACTCAGTTTTTCACTGCTAAAAAAATTGCTGCATATTTGGCTTAGAAATTTTAAGTTACATATATTTGACCCCCAATCCACCCCCCCCCAAAAAAAAAAAAAAAAGAAACCCAACACACACAAACACAGGATGCTTCTTACATTCACGCTGCAGACATTTTTGTTGACGACCTCCACAGGAGCTAGGATTAACACTCCTGGACTACCAAGGTAATGGCTGCTGTGGTGTACCAGAGCCAACAAAGGCAGAGGTGTTTACCCTGCATATTACACAAAAGTACTACGAAATAACTAAATATTATCATTTGATTGAGCTTTTCTTTTATAAAGGAACCATTTATTTTAACGAATTCAATTCACATTTCTTGGATGGCTAATAATGGATTACAGAAATGTTAAGATGGCAAGTGGGCATTATGTAGCTAATGAATTTAGTTTCAAGGCCTCTTTTTTCAATTATTTGTTGGCAACATGGTGTTGAAATTTATGAGTGTTCTTCATCCTCCATTAATTGCATTAAAATCTTAGAAGCGCTGCTCCAACTACTTATTAGATATCCGCTCAACATATCAGGGTAGGTTTCTGCTAGCTGCTGGTAGTGGGCGGGTCATGGTTCGTTCATTTCATTCAATTGTGCAAGTTGGTCAAGAGATGTTTGAGAAAGCAACTGGTTCCAGTAATGGTGCTACTGGTGGGACTGGGCCAGAAATGACCTGGTCACGTGTGGAGCTCTCTGTCATGTTGGAGCATGTTCAAGCTCATGTTGCTCCCACAGATGTTGATCCAGGTGCTGGTATTCAGTGGTTGCCAAAAATACACCGGAGATCATCTGAAGTTAAGAGAACAGGTGCTTTACTTGAAAGGGTATTTATGCCATGCCAAATGTATTTCCGCTACACGAGGCATAAGGGAGGAACCCCTGAACTAAAGGTCTATTCTCTTGTCAATGATTTCATTTTACTAAAGCCTTTTACTGAGCATAATTTTGCAACTATTAGTGGAGGGAACTAGTTTATTCATCAACTGTTTCTGGTATGCAGGTTAAACCACTGAAAGAGCTGACATTTAACTCACCAGACATAACTGCTGGTATGACATCACGCCAATTTCAAGTTATGATGGACGTATTGACTAACCTTCTCTTTGCAAGAACTCCCAAGTAAATCATCTATCTTCTTTCTTTATTTTTTAAGGAGAACATCGCCTATCTTGTAGTCCTTCCATTTTAGCATTTCAGCAATTACATCTAGAGCCAGTTTTGTGGCTCCTGCTTGTTGGTCCTAAAGTTTAACAGATTCTCTTTTTTCCCTTCTTCCCAAAATGTTCATCCTGATTCCTGCCAATGTTTTCCCGATTGTAATGAAAATGAAAGATGTTATTCAGCCATTTTTTTCCTTTTAAAAAATGTTTTGTGGTAAAGCAACTTCTTTTAACCCGAAAAAAAACTTTGGGATGTGAGAACAATATAACTCCTTGTTACTAAGTAAAATATTAGTCTACTAATAAAATTGGGAAACAAAAATAGATGGAAGAAAGACAGTAAAAAAGTACATATTACCAAGGAACAAGGAAATATCATTAAAACTGCTCGCACGATGTAAGGAAGCAACAATTCTGCTATATATACAAGCGTACACTCGGTACCTGGAAGCTTTTGGACAAAGACATCTGCATGGTTCACGTTTTCCAGAAAAGATCAGCAGCCCATTTGATGGTGTTCCCATGAAGCATTATCTTCATAGCGCAGCTAGTTAATGTGCTGCTGATGGACGAACTGCTAAAGTATTCCTATTTACATCCTAGCAAATTTAAATGCTTCACACACAGTATATGCTTGGTAGATTAGTTGAACTATGAAATCTACCTAATCTCACAGTTGTTATTCTTAGTTACATTTGTCTGAATATGGGTGTAGAACTGTAGATCACACTGAACTCAGGTATTAATTAGGCACGTTTCTTCCAGTGCAAAACATATATTGCAATAACTTTCCTTCAATAAGATGGAAACTGTAAGTTCTTTACATGTTTGTACATACCATTATCTTGTAAACATACAAGGTCGACATAAACAAGTGAGATGGTCACGTGCTTAGTCTGTGTTTATTTGTATCTATTAGCTATTAATGGAGATATTTGGTGGAAAACATTGGCTAGAGAAAGCGGCGCATAAGTTATTTGAACACTTTAAGTCACTTGCTAGCCATAGTTTGCAGTGTTTCAACATTTTAATAATTTTCCGATACCTTTACCGTGCATCGCAGTTTTGATCTTTTAGGATTTTGTGCACTTGTGTTCCTGTGTGTATGTGTTGTCTTTGTGTGCCCGCACTCAATGAAGCATTTAACATTTGGTCCCAGTAACATGGGCACATAGCACCTACATACAATATTTGAAGGATGCAAATGTTCCACATGTTGTGCAGGCCCCAGTGCTAAGAAGCTTGTTGTGTCATGAGCCAGACCTTGGACAAACTTTAATAAATAAATTCATGGACTACTGTATATCCAGTTTGCTTGTTGTCCTTTGCTTAGTGATTCAAGTTAACAAGCTAGTAGATATGTTTCCTGTCTGGCACAGATAAATGCTTTAGTATTAGATTATACTTCACTTAGTTCATGCACTAACTAAAGGTAGGCATTTTGAATTGGGCCTATGGCATTGGCAGGAAAGAGTTATTACTCCCACTGAATCTATACCTGTGACATCGATGTTTTTGTCCTTTCTTGTGGTATTTCATGATTTGTCACTTCCTTACCAAGCAGTACTGTAAAACAAGCTCTTTCTGTATCTAAAACCACGGTAACTGCACACTTTGCAATCAGGAGCAAGAGACTCTCACCTGTCTCCTAATGAACTGCCCTTTTAGCACAGAAATCCGGTTCCGGTCGCTGCGTGCATTTGGCTTCCATAGTCGGATACCGCTGGATTCATCCTCGATGGTCGACTGGTGGCATATCCAACCTCAAAAACATCACCAAATCCCATCTTCGCCGCTTCGATTCAGTAGTGCTGCTGACATGTTGGAGAATTTGGAATGAGTGGAACGCACGGGTCTTTCCAGGAACTTGCATCAGCCGATACAGCTCGTGGACGAGATTAAAGCAGGGGCGAGGAGGTGGTCATTAGTAATTTAGTAGGCTTCTTGTTACCAAATGAAACACGTTAGCTTAACCCACTATTTTGATGGTTGACCTCCTCTACCTTCTGGTTACCCCTTTTGTGTAACCGTTGGCGCCGGGCGGTTTCTATTGGCAACCATCCGGCTGGTTGCTGTAGTTTGTAGTGTGAGTTTCCTCTACCCTGTTACTGCTTGTCTGTACTCCTTGTTTGTTTGCTTTCTGTAGCACTTTGTAAGATTGGTCTAACTCCTCTTAATGAAACATGTGCAATCACGTTCTTGAATAAAAGTTTGTATCTAAAAAAATGTTTTAGTCTATATTGATCAGATCATTCTTATCTTAATAATATTGCTTTGCACTAATCAGACTTGTCAATTTGTCAGAAAACCGAAGAGTAATCTAAGCTATCCCCTGGATAATGATGACGACGACATTGAAGAAGCATCTGATGCAGTTGTACCTGATGGAGTTGAGGAGGTAGAATTAGCTAAGATTGGTGTTGAAGTAAAAGAAAGAGCTCGGAAGCTACTGCTTGATGATATCCGAGCCTTATCTACCTGTGGTGAATCATCTCATGATCAGAGTCAGTCACCAAAGGCTGATGACGCTGCATGGATTGTTACTGGTTCAAGGTTAATGCTGGTATGTTCAGAAGTACCATGGTTATATCTATTTTGAGTTCATATTAGTATAAAAAATACTTTGTTTATATGATTGTATTCTTCAGTTATCTTCATTTAGTAGTTCATACCTTAATTAATACTTCCTCCATCCAAAAAAAATATAAGCGTTTCTGGTTTTTTCATCAGTCAAATTATCCTAAGTTAATAATGTTTATGATATCAAATGAACATCATTGGATACGTTATGAAATATATTTTCATAATTTACTTGTTTGATATTGTAGAAGCTCATACTCCTTTCTATAAACTTGGCCAAACTTAGAATAGTTTGACTTAAGATGAAGCCAGAAACTCTTATATTTTGGGACGGAGGGAGTACTTGCTTTAGTCCACATTAGCATATAGTTACGATTATATCCTTATTATGTCTTGCTAACTTAACCACTGCCAGGTCAAACAACTGAAGAAACGACTCATGAATGTCCGCAATGGTAGGAAAGAAGCATATTCTATGCTAAGAACTGCTATGCAGAAAGCTGCACAGTTGAGGTTGATGGAAAAGGAAAAGAACAAAAGCCCTTCATTTGCCATGAGAATTTCAGTGAGGATAAAAAAGATTGTGTGGAGCATGTTAGCAGATGGAAAATCCTTTTCTGAGGCCGAGATAAACGATATGGTAAAATTGATTTCTTTCCAGTCAAATGTATTCTTGATTGTCATTTCTGATAGCACATGGAAGTACTTTGTTCAAATTGTGCTCAAGAATGATGATAGTTCCTGTTGAAAACTAACTTTTGATCCAAACATAGATTTTTGCACTGATTTTTGTTGATCTGTAGATTTTTGATTTCGACCGAGACTACAAAGATATTGGCATTGCCCAGTTGACAACCAAGCTGTTCGTCCTAAAAAATGGACTTGCTAATGCAAAATCAGATACTGTTGTATCACCCTGGAATCCACCTTCTGAATGGGGCAAGTAAGCATCTTTCCTCTTGATACTGTTGTGTACATGACTATTTAGATGCTCACATGTACCTTTGTGCAGTCTTTTCTATTTCTTTTCTTAGGACAATGTTTTCAGGGATGTCTATCATATAGTATGTATAGTATCACAATGATGTGCTAGGGCAAGCCTAAACATCTAGTATTTTATAAGTTATAACATCACAATGATGCTGAAGTTCATGGACTATAGGTTGCAATTCCATACATCCTCTTCATAATATTTCCCTAAAGGATTAACTTTGAAATGTTTGTAAACTGCTGTTTAATTAAACAGGAAAGAGCAGAGAACACAGTAACCATAAATCACTAAGGGCCTGTTTGGTAGATGGGATTGCCCTGGGAATTTTGGAAACTTTTGTAAGGATTTGGATCCATTCGCTCCTTTCCAAACAGGTCTTATGTGAGATCTCCTACGTTCTGTAATTTGATTTTTTTTTACATTTTTTCTTTATATTTGTTATTACCCTTCTTACGTTCATTGGACCTGTTTTAGTTTATTATATACTCCCTCCGGTCATAACTATGGGCAGAAAAAGTAGCCATGTCAATTTGATGTCCAAAACATCGCCTAATTGTGACCCGCAGCTGTATCAGTTCTCTGCCCTCCAATCATGCTTCACGACTCATTTCAAATGCAGGAATGCAATGCTTCGTGTCAATGCCCGGCAGGGAGCTCCAACTGGTGGGAATTCAGTTATCGAGAGTTTCTTAGTAAGTTCAATTGAAATTGTTTCATTGAACTGATAGTATTTTAAGTTTAGAATAACATGTTTCCTATGATTACTAGTTTTTTCACTACCATAGTTAGATAAAAGAAATGCAGATCATGATGCACAAATAAGCATTAGTATGGTGCAACTCTATACTGCCTTGTTTTTTTTTGGCACACGCACTTATATGGATGTCAATAAATAATAAAAGTGGTTCCTTTTTACTCTTGTAACTGCAGGTAGACATCTATCCACTAAAAATTTATTTGACTGAAGCAATGTACAGAATGATGTGGGGATATTTCTTCCCTGGAGATGAACAGCAACCACAAAAGCGACAGGTTAGATCGTTTGGTGTTCTTTGATGTTTCAAATGTTATTATGCTTTCATCTTTGTTCCTTATGTTACTTTTCACTGTATGTAGGAGCTTTTCAAGGTCTCCACTACAGCAGGAACAAGACGAAAGAAAAACACTTTTGTTGCAGAGACTAACAGTCCCAATAACCAGTCATCAAAAGAAACTACATTTTCACAGAAGCCTGAACTTCGAAGGACATCTTCATTTGACAGGACATGGGAGGAAACAGTTGCTGAGTCTGTAGCTAACGAACTTGTTTCACAAATGGAGGGTCAATCAAATGCCCAATATGAACCTCAAGATGCTGCTAAGGATTCCAAGTTACTACGTCCTGTTCGCTCTACTCGTGAGGATAAGAAAATTGTAGAGCCCAATGAGATGAAACAATCTAGACCTCAAAAAATGATGGACTTCCGCAATATAAAAATAAGCCAGGTTGGCATTTACTGTATGCAGATACCTTTTTTTTTATATAATCTGGTACTTGTAATACATGACATGATAAAACAATAGCCAGTTTCCTTAAACAATCCTTTTCATGTAATGTGCTCACTATTTGGTCTGATGACAACAATTCTTGGTATGCAAGGTTGAACTGCAGCTCACATATGAAGGATTGCCATTTGCTGTTAGTGATGTAAGGCTACTTATGGATACCTTCCATCGTGAGGATTTTACCGGAACATGGCCAAGACTGTTTTCACGAGTAAAGAAACATATTGTATGGGGTGTATTGAAGTCTGTTACAGGCATGCAGGCAAGTAATTTTGATTTACTCACAAACTTTCGAAGTTGAAACAGCATTTCAAATTCCAAATGCTTAGCTGTTAAAAAACAAAATAGCATATAATGCAAAGCTAGATGTAAATGTGTGTTTATAGTTCAATGTTATCTTGTTATTGCTATTTTTATGACTTCCAGAAGGAATCTAGATGCAAATATTCAACTTGTAAGAAACATTAACATTTCACTAATTTGACTTGAATGTTACTTATTTCTCTTTTACAGGGTAAAAAGTTTAAAGCTAAATCTAGCAGCCAAAAAGAACCATCTACAGCTTTAATCAGTGCCACTGATTTTAATTTAAGTGACAGTGATGGTGACGAAGCTGGCAGTTCTGATCAACTTCCAGCGTTTCTAAAAAAGCCTAGTGATGGAGCTGGTGATGGATTCGCAACCTCCGTTAAGGGATTATTCAGTACACAGAAAAAGAAAGCGATGGCATTTGTTTTGAAGACAATGAAAGGAGACGCTGATCATGATTTCCATGGTGAACGGAGTGAGAATGAAATTGAGTTCTCCCCATTTGCTCGGCAGTTGACTATAACAAAAACGAAGAAGCTTATACGGCGGCACACAAAGAAGTTAAACAAGTCTAAGGTTCACAAAGTTACAGGTGAGATAAGAATTAGTATTGATTAGCTGATTCGATGTCCACATTATATGCACAAACACATAGGACTTCCTGTGGGGACTCTGATTTCTAAAAATGAAAAGGCTTCCTTGTGTTCCTCGTCCTTGGTTGGGGGGCTAAGAATCTGTCGTTAGTCATTCTACTATGATACATGCATAAATATCTGGGCATCTAGCTTTCATAGTAAACCCATCATTTGCTTTCATAGCAAACCCATCATTTATTACACCTGTGCTACAAGCAAGCCCTTAAAGGCTAGGTTACTAACAGGCATTAGATCCAAAAGCTATGTTCGTACATTCTTTTACATTACATGGATAGATTCTTATAACACTCTAATAGACAACTTGGATTGGAGTCTCTTTGGTACACTTTAGCCCGGATTCCACCATCCTATTTTTGTAAGTTGGAACGAGCGCGTTCTCATAGGAGTAACTCCCAGTTCTGACTCTGTTGATTTCTTGTTCAGCTACTGAGCTAGAAGTGGCAGAGCTGCCGCCGCGTGCTCCTGGATTCAACACGGACTCCTCCGACTCGTCATCGGCGGAAACAAGCCCAAAATATTAGCATGTGCCCTCTATGAAAGGTTGATTCAGAGGGATGCTTCAAAGTCGTACTGAGCCCTGGAGTGATGTCCAAGTTCCTTCTTTACAGCTTCCGGTTTTGGTCGATCCATGGCTGATCTTCGAGATGATTTTGCAGTCATCCGAATAGATATGGATAGTGTTTCAACATTCCCTCCCCATCAGATGTAGCTTTGAAATAAGCCTATTGTCTGAGCTGAAGTTTTTAGTTGTGACGTTGAATTCAGTGCTCTGCAGAGAACAACTATTATCATGACCTGAGGGTAGCGTGAATTCTTCGTTGTATTTTTCTTGAGTTGAGGGTAGTGTTTGAAACTTCATTCTCGGCTTTGTAGTACTCACAGTCTACAGTATAACATCCAGTGCGATAGCAAATGTCGTCTTTTTACTTGTACTAAAATAAAATATTTAATACATATGAGGAACCACATAGGTCTTGAAATCGAACTTTGTATTATCACTAGATGCAAGTTGTTCTAACTTGTATAAGTACATATTGTAAGTTTAAGTCACATATAAGACACAGAGGGTGTGATGGCAGTTTGAAAAGTAAAAAAAGAACAGGATGAAAGAATTCCTTCGCTCTTTTAAGGCTATGTTTGATCTGAGAGTGGGATAGACTTATTGTTTGGTTTGAGAACAGGTGGAATGGAACAATCCCTAAGGCTTTTTGGATGTTGTCGGATTCACCTTAGGCCTTGTTTGGATGTATTTCTATCCACCTCAATCTATGTGTGTCGGAGTGGATTGGGGTGAAAAATAGTTTAAGTTTCATCCCAATCTACATTCAAACAAGCCCTTGGGTGGATTTGGGTAAAATTTAGTTCAAGTTCCACTCCAATTCATTTCAACACACGTAAATTTATGCGAATCCGACTACGTCCAAACAAGATCTAAGAATATATTTCTCAGAGATATTGTCTCCAAGTGTCCCTCAAAATCCGTGGAATCATCTCGTCACCTCCAGACGTTCTTATTGCTCTGTTTGCTTTTCTTCTTCCTCATGTTGCCTCCTAGCCGTATGCGGCACCATGCCACTGCATGCAGCAACTGCGTGCCCCACCGTGTCTTGCACAGCCCCTATCGTGCCCGGCGTAGGAACAACAGTGCTGAGGTGGCCGGAATTGAGAAGGTGCGCCGATCCGGGAGGAGCCAAGTGGGGGCGACCGTCGAGGGAGGAGTCAAGCAATGTCACCGATCTGTTGTGACCATGGCCGCCGAGCTATACAAAGAAGACTATGGAGATAGTTCAGTGAAAGGGGGCGGGTGGAGCCTAGCTGGGCGACCAGAGAGGGAGGAGTCGAGCGGAGGTGCGCCATGGAGATATTGAGCCTGTTCGTTTGCTCGTATACAATCGTGGATTATAAGCTGGAATAATATTTTTTCTCACACCAAATTAGCCAGCAGTAAATAATCCACGATCGTTTACGCTGATTGTCGAGCCATTGTGGCAGCACACGTAGAGATGTAGGATGACTACGGAGATGCTATGCTCCACTAACACATGGGCCCCACATTGTTGGTGTCAAATGGTGATTGACACCTTATTCATGTCTCTCTCTACTCCCTTAATCAAGTAGGAAATAAGGATGATCCTATCTTTAAAAATGGCAGATCCAGTGTCGGAGGCTCCCACATGAGTGGGATCTGGGGAAGGAAAAAACCGAGGCAAGTCTTCCCCTCATAAAATCTACGGAGAGGCTGCTTCGAACCCGTGACCTGGTGACTCAGTGAGATAGCTCTTACCACTGCACCAGGCCTGCCCTTCGATCCTATCTCTAAAACTAAAAAAAAAGCTAGTGGGATCATACCACTTAAAAAAAAACTAGAGACAAAACCATCCCACTCTAATATTCTAAAACCAAATTAGACTCTAATATTAGATGGACCTGTTTGGTTGGGCATATATGAGTCAGCCTGATTCGCGAGATAACTGCTTGGATGTATGTATGGTGACTTGAGCTTATACAGAATCCTCTATTAGCCTGGCTCCATATAAACGAGATTGAAATTCATTTCTCGTGGGTTTGGCTGACGTGATGTGGCTTAGCTGCTTTTGGCGTATACGTTGTCTCTAGATCAGGTTAGAAGTTCATGTAACCAAACAACATACAGCCTGTTCGCTTGCTCGTAAACGATCGTAAATTTCCAGTCGGGAACAGTGTTTTTCTCTCACACCAAACTAGCCAGCAGTAAATAATCCACGATACGATACGGCCTCCCGAACAGGCTGATAGAACAGACCGATGCAACCTGACTAGAGCAATACAAGCAACCAAACAAAAGAGGCTTTGCATCATCTGAGCGTGGCCAGCAGGTGTCTGCATCTAATATGCGAGCTAGGCTGGTTAGGTTAGAGAACCAAACAACCCATAGATATACATGAACGCCTTCTTCTGTGGTCAGATCTTTGCGATGTTACCACTTGAGATGGATACCAGGCAATCAGGCATACAACACTGTTGTTCAGCTCGTTTACACCATCGTCCATCGAACTCTACGGCCCCTGCTGTACCATTGCTATCGCCTCTGGCTTCGGGGGCAGGGGCTGCATAGCATCTCCATAGTCACCACTTATGTGATTAGTTTTATAATCACCCCATGTCACAAGCAAAGGCATCGCTTGTCAATGTCGAGTCTGCATCTGCATTCTGTAACACCGGTCGTGCGTGCGTGCGTGGCGTGCGTGAGAAGCGGCCAGGCCAACCGCTTGCCTCAAGTCCCTCCCAGCCTGGTTCCTTAGCATTTCCTATTCTAAAATCCTCGAGACTATCCATCGAAATACATATATATATATATAACAATCGCATAACAATTGTTGCTGCGCCGCAAACAAGTGCATGCCTGGATCTCCCTTGTCGGCCCGTACCTGGCAGTCTCCGGTTCTCAGCAAACAATTTCGACCGGAAAGATTTCGAGTCCTGCAGCCTGCACTGCACCGTTGTTGTCCGCCATGTCTGCCCGCCTCCTCCTCGCGCTCCTCGCCGTCGCCGCTTCGCTTGGCGTCATGACAGCCGGCGAAATATCCAGCTGTGCGTCCTCAGGCACCTACACCGACGGTAGCCAGTACGAGAAGAACCTCGCCGAGCTCCTCGCCGAGCTGTCCAGCGCGGCGGCCGCTGGCAACGGCTCGTTCCACAGCGGCAGCGTCGGCTCCGCAGCGCCCGACCAAGCGTGGGGCCTCGCCATGTGCTACGCCGATCGCAACGCCACGCGGTGCCAGGACTGCCTCCGGGAGGTCGCCTCTATCGGCGGGCTCACGGAGCTGTGCCCGGACGCCGCGCACAGCAGGAACGTGAGCTTCTCAGACTCCGACGCGTGCCTCCTCCGGTATGCGGACGCGCCGTTCTTGGGCTCCGCCGACACCGACGACAGGTGGCAGAGTAGCTCTGGGTTTGACGTCGACGTTGCGGACATGGCCAGCATGAACACGACGCGGTGGCGGCTGCTGAGCCAGCTCGCGGAGAGGGCCGCCGGCCACGACCAGCCCCATCGGCTCGCCTACGGGAGCCTGGAGTACACGGACGCGCAGAACGGCTCTCAGATGGTGGTGTACGGTCTGGCACAGTGCACCGGGGACCTGGAGCCCAGCGAGTGCACACGGTGCCTCATGTACTTCCTTGCCGTGGTGTCGTCGGGGGACATGGCCAACGCCACGCGCCGCTCCGTCTGGGGATTCAGTTGCCACCTGAGGTACCAAGTGAACGACCCCATCGACGTCATCGCCGGCCCGCCGGCGCCGTCTCCGCAGCCTGTAGCTCCATCAGGTCGGTCCAGATATATCGCCGTCATCATATACAAATCGATCGATTAATGCTGATGCATCGTTGGTACGGATCGGATTTTCTCGTGTTGTGTTCAATTTCAGGGGCTGCACCTCCTCCCCTCGCCTCCAAAGCTCCGATGATCGCGGCTCTCGCTGCGACTGCCGGCGCCGTCATGCTCTTGGTTGCTGGTGTTTAATAAATCCTGTTGCGCTGCATCGTGCTTGCTGTTGCATTTCACGTATGGAATAAGTCTACTTAACTCTCGAACTGTAGACATTTGTTTACTTCACCCTCTTCATCTATGATCCTGTTCGTTTTTCTTTTAATCCATACTTTTCAGCTTGTTTTTTCAGCCAGAACAATGTTTTTCTCTTACAACAAATCAGCGGGAACATTGTTTTGTCTTATTTTTTCAGCGAAGCGAACATGACTATAAAATAAATAGAAAAAGTCTACTTAACCCCCTTAACTATACGTGGTTGTCTACTTCACCCTCCCACCTATAAAATCAGGTATTCTATCCCTCAAACTATTGATAATCGTCTAAATAACCTCCTGAGACGGTTTTGAAGGTGGTTTTGCTGACATAACATATTAAAAAGTCTATATAACCTCCTCACATATCAAGGGTTGACTACATGACCCCCTCAACTATAAAATATGATATAGCAGCCCTTAAAGCATCTAAAAATATTCAAACGATGGTCATATGGGGCCGTTTGGACACCGTATCCCACCACACTGGCCTAAGCATACATGCTTGAACACAAGCCCATCGGTTGCCTCCGTCTTTGAACTCTTTCCAGGCTTGTGCTATCGCCCGATGAGCACCACCTTGTTTCCTACTCCGCATCATGCACTCCTCGACGACATTGAGCACATGCACTACGCTTGCGCCCTTGTCATCCGGCTCCTCCCACATCCTCGCCCCCGCTTTCTCCTCATATGGCTACCCAAAAAATTAAAGGACGGCTGGATGGAGGATAGATGTGGGAGGGGCTGAATGATGACGATGTAGGCATGGCGTGCTTGAGCTCAATGCCATCAACGTGTGATGGGAGGTGGAGCAGGGACAAGATATTGCATGCTGCTCGTTGGGAGGTGGGCTAGTCTAGAAAGAATAGGCAGGTGGAGGAAACAAATGGACTGCGTGCAAGCATGTGTGTTTAGACAAGTGTGGTGGGATACAATGTCCAAACAACCCTAAGACCACCCG